GTTATGCTTGTTTCTGAAGTCTCTATTCATTTACCTAGATTTTCCATAACCAGCCGGCCCTCGGTTTGTGATTTCTTCATTGACTCCATTTAGTTTTCAAATCTTGAACTGTTTCCATTACCTGTTTGATTGTTTTTTCTTGCTTTCCCAGCATTTCATTTATGGATTTACTCATTTCTTCAAACTTTTTGGTATATTTCTCTTCCATTTCTTTACTCATTTCCTCAATCTTTTTGTTATACTTATCTTCCATTTCTTTCCTGCAGATTTTCACCTCCTGTTTAAGTTCCTCTATTATTTTCATAAAGATCTGCTTAGAGTCAATTTCTTCTATTTCTTCTGGAGTAGGGTGTTCAATTCTTCTAGTTTCGTGCTCCCTGGATTCTGGAGATGTCATGTTGGCTTTCAGGTTGTTGGAGGAATTCTTGCATTGGTGCCTGCCCATCTCCTCCTCTCTGGATGAAACTCCTCAGCACTTTCTGGATAGAACTCCTCAACTCTATCTGGGTAGGACTCCTCAGCACTCTCTGGGTAGAACTCCTCAGCACTTCAACAGGGCTAGCTGGTCTTCCCAGGACCCAGGAGACAAAAGAGCGGCAGCAGTGGGGGCAGGGAGGGTTCCCGTGGAACACCGAAGACCCTGCAGCAGAAGCTGAGAGGGGAGGGGCTGTGCTCTCTTCCTGGACAGGCGGCCCAGGCGAGCACCCACTCACCTCTCTGGGTAGAACTCCTCATCAGTGCAACAGGGCTAGCTGGTCTTCCCAGGACCCAGGAGGCAAAAGGGCGGCAGCAGTGGGCGCAGGGAGGGGTCCCGTGGAACTCCGAAGACCCTGCCACAGAAACTGAGGGGGGAGGGTCTGTGCTCTCTTCCTGGACAAGCAGCCCAGGTGAGCACCCACTCACCTCTCTGGGTAGAACTCCTCAGCACTACAACAGGGCTAGCTGGTCTTCCCAGGACCCAGGAGACCTGTTTGTCAGTATTTTATTGAGAATTTTTGCATCGATGTTCATGAGTTGAGATTGGTCTGTAATTCTCTTTCTTGGTTGAGTCTTTGTGCGGTTTTGGTATCAGGGTAACTATAGCTTCATAAAAAGATTTTGTCAATGACCCTTCTATTTCTATTATGTAGAACACATTGAGAAGTATAGGTATTAGCTCTTCCTGGAAGTTGTGGTAGAATTCTGCATTAAACCATCTGACCCTGGGCATATTTTTTATTTGGGAGGTTTTTGACGACAGTTTCTATTTCCTCCCAACTAATAGGTCTATTTAAATTGCTCACCAGGTCTTGATATAATTTTGCTATATGGTGTCTATCTAAAAAATTGTCCATATCTTTTAAGTTTTCCAATTGCAGAGTACTGGTTTTTGTAGTAAGACCTAATGATTCTCTGAATTTACTCAGTGTCTGTTGTTGTGCCCCCCTCTTCATTTCTAATTTTGTTAATTTTGGTGTTCTCTCTCTGCCTTTTGAGTAATTTGGATAAGGGTTTGTCTATCTTGTTGATTTTCTCAAATAACAAGCTGTTTTGTTGATTCTTTAGATTGTTTTCAGTGTTTTAATTGGGTTGACTTCAACCCTCAGTTTTATTATTTCCAATCATCTACTCCTCCTGAGTGAGTCTTCTTTTTATTGCAGAGTTTTCAGGGGTGCTGTTAAACTGCTAATGTGAGTTTTATCCATTTTGTTAATGTGGGCACTTAAGTGTTATGAACTTTCCTTTTATCACTGCTTTCATAGTGTTCTGTAGGTTTAGGCATGTTGTATCTGCATTCTCATTGAATTCAAGGAAGACTTTAATTTCATTCTTTATTTCTTCCTTGACCCAGGGGTGGTTCAGTAGTTGACTATTCAGTTTCCATGAGTTTGCAGGCTTTCTGGGCATAGTATTTTTATTAAATTCTAACTTTATTCTATGGTGACCAGCTGAGACACAGGTGTTTACTCCAATTTTTTTTTGTATCTATGTATGTTTGCTTTGTTACTGAGCATGTGATCAATTTTTGAGAAGGTTCCACGAGGTGCTGAGAAGAGGGTATATCTTTCCTGTTTGTGTGGAATGTTCTATATATGTCTGTTAGGTTCATTTGATTCATTACATCTGTTAGTTCTCTTATTTCTCTGTTAATATCCTACCAAAAACAATCTATAGATTCAATGCAATCCCCATCAAAATTCCAACAAAAGTCTTCACAGACCTTGAGAGAATAATAATAAAGTATATAGAATAGCAAAAAACCCAGGAGGGTCAAAACAATCCTATATAATAAAGGAAATGCTGCAGGCATTACCATATTTGACTTTAAACTCTATTACAGAGCTACAGTAATCAAAACAATATGGTACTGGCATAAAAACAGAGGCATTGACCAATGGAATTAAATTGAAGACATGAATATTTATCCACACACCTATGAATACCTGATTTTTTACAAAGAAGCTAAAAGTATAAAATGGAAGAAAGAAAGCATGTTTGACACATGGTTCTGGCATAACTGGATGTCAACCTGGAGAAGAATGAAAATAGATCCATATCTATCACCATGCACAAAACTCATGTCCAAATGTATTAAAGATCTCAATATAAATCTGACCACACGGAACCTGATAGAAGAGAAATTGGAAAGTATCCTGCAGTGCATGGACACAAGAGACATCTTCCAATGTAAAACCCCAGTAGCACAGAGAATAAGAGCAATAATGAATAAATGGGACCTCCTGAAACTAAGAGGCTTCTGTAAAGCAAAGGACACTGTCAATAAGACCAAAAGGCAACCTACTGATTGGGAGAAGATGTTCAACAACCTTACATCAGACAAAGGACTGACCTCCAAAATATGTAAAAAAAACTCAAGAAACTGGACATGAAAATTCTAAAAAACCCAGTTAAAAATTGGGACATGGAACAAGAGAATTCTCAACAGAAGAATTTCAAATGGCCAAAAGATACTTAAGGACTTGTTTAATTTCCTTATCTATCAGGGAAATGCCAATCAAAACAACTTTGAGATACCATCTTACACCTGTCAGAATGGCTAAACTCAAAAGCACCAAAGATAACCTATACTGGAGAGGATATGGAATAAGGGGAACACTTATCCCTTGCTGGTGGGAATGCAAACTTGTGCAACCACTTTGGAAATCAGCATGAAAATTTCTCAGAAAATTGGGAGACTACCTACCTCAAGATCAAGCATAACCACTCTTGGGAATCTATCAGAAGGATGCCCAATCATATTACAAAAGCATTTGTTCAACTAAGTTCATAGACACATTTTTTGTAGTAGCCAGATCATGGAAATAACCTAAATGCCCCTCAACAGAAGAATGGATAAGGAATGTGTGGCACATCTACACATTAGAGTACTACTCAGTGGTAAAAAACAATGACATCTTTAATTTTGCCTGCAAATGGATGGAAGTAAGAAACACTATACTAAGTGAGATAAACCAGTCCCAAAAGTATGAATATGGTATGTAATCACTCATTAGTGGATTCTAGCCAAAAACAAAGGACATTGAGACTATAGTTCATGATCCTAGAGAAGCTAAGTAATAAGGTAAACCCAAAGAAAAACATATAGAGATCCATCTGGAAATTGGAAGCAGACAGGATTACCTGGCAAAAGTTAGGAGCACGGGGGTGGGGAGTAGAGGGAAGCAGACAATGGGAGGGATGGGGGAGAAGGGGAGGGGTTGGGGAGAATGGGAGGTTTGGGGAAATCATGGGGGAGTGGGATGGATGAGATGGATGAAAGAATAATATGGGAGCAGAGAAGGAGATATCATAATTGAGGGAGCCATTTTGGGGTTGGCAAGAGGCTTGGCTCTTGAGGGATACCCAGGAATCCATGGAGATGACCAGAGCTAGGATTCTGGGACACTGGAAGAGAGGGTGCCTGAACTGCCCTTGTCCAGTAGTACGAATGATGAGTAGCTTGAATATCACCATAGAACCTTCATCCAGTGACAGATGGAGACAAAGGGAGAGACCCGTATTGGTGCACTGGACTGAGCTTCCAATGTTCAGTTGAAGAGTAGAAGGAGGGAGAATATGCACAAGGAGATCAGGATCATGAGGGTTTCACCTACTGAGATAGTGTGCCTGAGGGAATGGGAGCTCATCAAAGCCAGCTTGACTGGGAACGAATGGAAATGGGATCAAACTGGGCCCTCTGGATGTGGCTTACAATTGGGGCAGACTGAGGGGTCAATGACAACGGCTTTGGGAATTGTCTCTACTGCATGTACTGGCTTTTTGAGATCCTTTTCTCTTTGGATGCATATCTTTCTAAGCCTGGATATAGAGGGGAGGGCCTTGGACTCCCACATGGCAGGGTGCCTTGGCTTCTCTTAGGACTGGAGTGGTTGTGGGAGGAGATTATTTCAGGGAGCAGGAGGAAAGTGGTAGGAGGGGAGGAAGTGGAAATTTTGTTTGATGTTATTTTTAAAGTATAAAAAAAGAGAGAAATAAGGAAATTAAATTTCAGAAGAAAAACATACAAACTGCTGACTCTGGATAAAATACAAGGCCCTGCCAGGTATTGTGGCCCATTTATTTAATCCCAGCACTCAGAAGCAAAGGCAGATAAATCTCTGTCACTTTGAGGCCAATCTGGTCTACAAAATGACTTCCAGAACAGTCAGGACTGTTACACAGAAACCCTGTCTCAATAAACACACACACACACACACACACACACACACACACACACACACACACA